GCGTCTTCATTCTGATGTGTACAACTTGCGCGAGAGGATTCTTTCTCTTCTGTCATAGCAACTGTTCATTGAATCCCTAAAACGAGTGCCATGCTATAGTACTCAGGGTGAACTGGCAAGAAGCCAAAATCTGAAATCTTCACAGCAGTGAATTCTCCGTCAGAGGTAGGTCAACTTTCGCCCCCAAACGCGGGAATAGTTGATACAAATGGCAATTTGCCGGTGAATGATAAGAAACTAGCCTTCGCTGAAATCACTTATTACTACATACAGAGAAAGCAAACGGGACCAGAAGAGCGGGTAAGAGCACATAGGTATGGAAAGAACGAAGAAGCATATTTATGAACCAGGCAAATTTTTCTTCTGAAAAAGCAGGACTTACCTAATTACGATTACAAGAGGAGTTTATGATAAGTCTCAGTTCAGCTTGAGGAAGTGCCAGCTAGTTCTCTGCCGTCAGGGCGCAGTGATCGCATCGCTGGTCAATGTTTAAACTTATCGCGCCATCGCTATTATGTCAGCAAACACGTGTCGCGTACGCGCCGCGTAGTCCCTCTGCCCCCTGCTCCTCCTGCCAGTGCTCTCTAGTCTCCAGATTCCAGGTTTCTTGCGTTTTCGGCACCTATGAAGAGTGCGAGGAGTGCCATCTCTCGGCTTCCTTCCTCGATCATGTCATGCATGTGTGAGTTTTGTTTTGATATACACAACTCTTCTTATTTTCATTCCTGAAGGTACTTTCTTATTATACTTACAGTCTGCAACTCGATACAAGGGACTTCAATTTCAGATTGGGTACGCACATGACGATCAACTAAATGCTGTTACTATGCGACACCCACTTGTGCTATGCCGAAACTTTTTTATATAATTGTGCTATGCAACCATTTTTTCATAAATTTCTACGGTGCTTGATTTTTTTATTTGATTTTTACCTGATTTTTATGCTATGATTGCATGTCTTGTTGTTCAAATGATGGAACGCAGTTTCATGGGGTGAATGTCTTGCATAAAGTTAAGAATTTACTGTTTGAAAACCCTTACTTGTCCGGAACCAGGCACTATTCAACATTGCAACTCCAGAATCCAAAAAATTGCCTAAACTCCATGATAGGCATCATTAAGCGCCCCGATCAAATTGGTTTCAGGCACCTGACAAGACAATCTCAACGCTCCGCTGGTAGCGTAGCGATGACTCGCTTTCCGGACGAGTTGTCGTGCCCGGTCATTTCCATTCGAGAGTTAAAGGCATGGGAACAATTGGCAGCCCGGCATGGAGTCTTGTCTTCGCTTGAATTCATGCAGTTTCGTCACTCCAATTGAACATAGAGACTTGCCGTGTCGCACGGCGCCATGAGGCGAAAATTTACGATTGTATTGATCGTTTCTATTCGGTTTTTGACCACTGGGAGAACGAGCGGATTCTTACCGAAATCGGGGTGAGATTGTGTACCAGGATCAGGGCTGTCATTGGTTTACACAACATCAGGCTACGGTGTTCTGATCAAGAGAGTGGCCTTGTTCTTAGGCATCTTAGCGCCCCTTGCGTCACATGGGGAGAGGAGTCGGGGTGGGGGGGGGGGTGGAGGGAATAACGTCACCTGATTGCCGCGCATTAATTGGCATCGGACAGCAGCGCACGGGCATAATAGCCGTAGGGTTTCTCTCTACGCCCCGCTACCTGAATTTCTCTACCCCCGCTATCCGAATGTTACAACAGATGGTCCAAGGGCAAAGTTCACTGCGCACAGGCCTCGCATGCCAGACGTCGCAGCCACCAGTCGGAGACAAGTCAGCGAACGCATAAGAGAGCGCAGACGGCACAACACCAAGTCTTAATCCTTTCCGCTAGAGCCGGGGACTGCCTTTAGTCGACGCGTTCACAGCCAACTCCGTGGAAATCCTTCTTACGACACCGTACAGGGAGGGCGTGGCTGAATATATCGTTTGAAATCGGCGCAGGGTGCTGATCGTGGAATTTTCCCGGATGAGGTAATGTCCCAAAACCGCATTTCCACATAAAGCACTGTTGCCACCCCGGTCATTTGGACTGCGCGGCCACGCTCTTCCATGTCTGGGATATAGAGCGTACCTATGGTTAGATGCTACGTGCGGTACAAACTACTGCAGCGAGCAAGAAAGACTAGGTCTTGAGAATCTCATATCTTCAGTGGATGCCAATGGTGATAACATCCAAGAGTCTCCCATTTGGGGAAGCTCCAAAACATCGGTGACTGAACTCGGGAACAAAGGTTCGGAAACCAGCTCTAGAATTATTGTGAATTCTGCCGCGCTATTTTTTGCTATTTTGTTGTGCTCAATCCTATTTTCCACCCATATACTAGACAGCCTCCATAACGACCTCGTTGTGATCATACGCTTAATTGCCACATACCACGCGGGTGCCATTGCCGGGGGACACTATCAAGATGGGTGTAATGACGGTGTCCTTACAACAAAATTCAACGATTTTCTAACCAACCTCATCACCCTTCAAAACTGATTGAACAAACTCTTTGCAGCAGACAGTTAAGTCACCAGATCAGACCACGCACAACCCCAAGTCCCGCCTCGACCGCCACGTCCATTTTTAGACGCTAGCTTTATTTTTGGGATTTTGTCACCTCGCCCAACACACTAAACAAAAGTTACTATTATCCCGGCACATATAAATTCCCCATTTTCTGAGGAGCTTGTTGCAAATTTCACATTTTCACAAATTTTCACGCACCGGTGTTTGCACACCATCCTAGTAAAATGTTCATGCACCAACATGCTGATGTTGTCCTTGGCCACGCTCAATTTCGGAGACAATTTGCGAATTTTTGCTAACTCTTAGTCCTTTTAAGAATGTTCACCCTTTGACAAGCTCCACCCATTTTTACGTAATTTCCGCCCAGTTCTGTAGAATGCGTGGAGTTACCAGGCTAGATTCTCAAATGACAGTCTGGAGTCACCTCCATTGCTCATGGTTGATCTTGCTTGGTTTTTTGCTCTGTGTGACAAGCGAGACTCTGGCCTGCCGATAGAATTTCGAGCTTCTTAATTGTGAGTATTTCATTAGAGTGGGAGGGGTTTCGCAAAATGGGTGGAGCGCATCTCGGCGTACTAGCGTAGCTTAGAAGGGCGAGAATTTGAAAAAATTCGATTTCCCACAATCACTGCAGAACGCATTCAAAAGTGCGCGTGGCTAAGGGCGGAGCCTCCAGTAATGTCTAACGTGGTGTTGCTAATTAAATGTCCTCTGTGAGCAGTGTGTTGCATTGGATTTTTTGAGTGGCAAATTCGCTTTGTAAAATGCTGAATTCAAAGTGAAATTCTGTATATCGTGCGTGAAAAGGGGAACCAACAGTCACAAAAACTGGAGCTCAAGTGCGACCTTGTCTCCCAGTGACCGATATACAAACCCTTGATGGGTTTCCCACCACGATTATGTACCCTGACCACTGCGCATCTGAGTATTTTTTGGTAGGCTCATTACAATATTGCCAAGACATACACTCCACATCCCGGATATGGATAGGGCGTGGCTGCAACTTTGTTTCTTTGTTTTGGCGGCTGCACTACTCATAGAATATTATTGTTTTACAATTGACAATTGTAGTAATGTCTTTATCCGGCTAGAACCAGGATGGCAGGCGTTTCCAAATAGAAATATCTCACAAAAACGCATTTACCCTATGTTCGGAATGAGTACGCAGCCACACCCTCTCCATCTTCGGGATATGAAGTGTGTGTAGTACTCTGTTGATATGTTAATGTCAAAAATTTTTATTTATTCGTAAACAATCTGAGATTCAATGCTTTCAAGAGCATTATAAACTAGAGGTACTTCATAAGCTAAATTTACAATATGTAAACGGTACAAATGGGTTATGCAACAATGGAATAAGATAAGAGACAACGGATGATGGCAAGAGACTGATGAGAGGGAGAGAGAGAGAAGGAGCAATGATCAGAAAAACATCATTTAACACGGAAATTTATATGACACTCCCAGACGACTAGAGATTGGGATATGGATCATTTAGTGTGTACACTCAACATGGCCAAAAATAAATAATAAATAATAAATAATCATGAACAATTAAACGCACATTGATTCTTACCCAAATAAAATTCTATAAATGCGTCTAAATCAAATACTTGATAAAAAAATTGAATCCACCTAGAGCAAAAAAAAAAACAAAACCGTTGAAAGAATCGCGTAAATATGAAAGTTCCAAAAGATCGTAATTGCAGTGAGAGTGCAGTAGAGGAATTACCCTGATCGGGTATGGATGACGCGGCGACGGGGGCAGCGTCGATGTTGAGTGATGAGCTCACAAAATTGATAAAAAATAAATGCATGACTATACAAGACTCCGCAAAAAATATGGATATTCACAGCAGGATTGTTAGCTTCGATTTTTGTGCAGGGATTTAGCAAAAAATATTATAAGTCGTAGCTAGAGGTAAGCTGGTTGCTCTGGTCTCAACGCTTGCACCCGACGTATGTATTCTGACTCTCGGAAAAAGTCTGATTGGAAGGAGTTATGTCGAATAGTCGACATTCCTAAAATTATACATGTTAAAAAATTTCTTGTGGACACCCAAGTGTATACTCAGGAATAAATGAGTGAGCGGAGAACCGGAAAAACATACGCTATATATCACGGAGATGGAAGGGGCGTGGCCGCATACTTCATGTGAGCACGGTATGGGATACGTTATCCGTCGAACTTTACATTTGAGACATTGTATTTCTAGTCTGTGCCGGACAGAAGCATGATCACATTGTTATAGAACGACAACATCCCTCCCCCCCCAAAAAAAGCGCTGCAGCCACCATGCAGCCCACGCCCTTTCTCTCTCCCGGATATGGAGTGTAGCTTTGCCCCGTAAACAAATGGGCCGAGAAAGGCGTAGTGACTCATAGAAGTTGCTCTCTCCTCATTGGTACCGTTGAGATCGACCTGTCGGGGAACTCTCGAGACGGATGATATCCCCCATCCTTGGCGTTTTCATCACTCTGCCTTCCTAAATCGGTCACTAACCGATCATCATTGGTGGAGTAAGGCAACCGGAAACGGACTCGTCCCGCCCCTCCTGACACCACCCCGACTGATTGCGATGTTGCCAACTTTACACCCGACCATTGAAATGTAAAAAGGAGGGCCGAGTTTGTCTCACGGATCTCTGCAATTTCACCATGCACCAATTTATCGCAAAATTTGCCTTCAAAGGCGAATTTCGTCATTCCAGTCCTTATGTTGCGGGTCAGAAAAACAAAAGTGCATGCGGCAGAACAGAAAAGCAGAGAAGCAGGAAATGTTCCTAATGAAACCTTTCTTTCTACACTTGGTTATAAGTGGAAGCCGGAAAATCGTTTATCGGCATTTTGGGCGAAAGACGGCAGGCAAGCTGTGCGAGGGAGCACATATGCGAGCGAAGCGACAGACACCATGCGAGGGAGCACACGTACGAGCGAGGCGACAGACACCAAAGTCGGTGGAGTCACTCGCGCTGAGGTGGAGCCACTTGAACAACCTTGCGCCTTGATACTTCTACTATAGCTGATGACGACGCGGAGGAAGCAGGAGCGCAACCATCGTCGTCCGTCCTTTGCCTTGTACCACGAATAGTGATCGGGTGCCGATCAATTCGGATAGATCCAGACAGTGGTGGAGGGGCTGCGGGTGAGCTCATTTCATCCCTGTAACCGCCCCGACTGATTGCGACGACATCAACAATACCTAACAACCATCTGACGTGAAACTGGTACAGGGTTGTCGACTGTGGTCCACATTATGGTTCTCAAGACAGCGCTTATACTTATAAATAACTGGGAAATGTTCTTCCAAGGTTAGACGAAATGTCTAGTAAACAAACAAAAGAAAAAATGCTACAAACCTGATGAAGTTTCATCAATAAACCGTAATTTCATAAGTAATTCATGAGGCTCAAATGGACGATCACGTAACTCGTTGTCGAGGAAATCTCGCACGTCATTCCACGTTACCTAAATGCTACCAACTGTTTTCAAATCATTTTGCATTCATTCAGTTGCCTCTCACCTTTCCTCCTTTCTTCCGTCTCATTGCTCCCAGCAGAGCAACAATTTCCTTCAGCTCCTCACTCATTCCCAAGAACCTAGGAAATACAGGTAAATTATGTGTTGAGTGGTACAGAAGCAAAAAAACTTGAACAGGCTAAAAATCTCTAATTTAAAGATTTTATTGAATTTTATTCGATTCTTTACGAGGGTTTTGTTTCTCAGGTAACACATGCCACAAAATATTATTTTGCTCGGTGGCTTAATGGTTCGAAGATCAAAAATCTAGTTAAATTGAAGCCTCTGCAAAAAAACAATTTTTGGCATGTTACAAGTCCTTTACACTAGGAGTAAAGACTCTACCTCTTCGCTCGTCCGAAGTAGTGGATTCGAGTGAAGTAGGCCTTGAGATGTGTGGAAGCCAAATCAACGCACATAGTTACTACGGAAAGACCTGAACAATTTGATTAGATTGCCTCAGAGACATCTACAGTAATCTACAGTATGATCGGAATTGTCGTACAGAACGCGCCAATCGCCCTTGAGGGGGAGCAGCTTGTTTCTTTAGATCCCTCGCCTTGGTGGAACCTGAAGATTCTAGTGAGGCTGCTTGAAGGAACGAGCTTTGAAGAGCTGGTTCGATGATACTTGTAAACACTTGTAAACTTACTAAATAGTTTGACATTCATTATTTGTGGCCGTAACAGATTCACAAGAATTCACAGGTTTTCGCACGCACGGTGGCCTACTCAAGCTTCGCTGAACACCACTTCACAGCTTCACAGGAGTCTACAGGTCTCATTGGAAGTGCTGAGATGCCCCCCCCCTTCCAAGACGAACAGCACCGTACTAAAGCGTACTTGTGTTTCTATACGGCCTGCCAAATCACTTACCGACGATGACAAAGGCGACAATGAGTGAAAGAAATATATAATCTTTGACAACAATGTCCCCCAATCCAACGGTCACTATCAAGTTGAATCCAAAGTGAAAGGCATGAATGAAAGACCAAGTGACTAAAAATACAAAAAAAATTCATAATTCTGTTTTGGATCTCAATTTTTATGACGTCAGTTATTAAGACTCCGTAACATGCCCAGAAAAGTCAAAGCAGCCTTACCGCTCCCAATTTATAAACATGGCTGCAGCCATAGAGAATATAAACAAAGGCAGCAAACATAGGCTCCTAAACAAACAATGTATATTTCTGGTTGTGAAAACATCAAGAAATTATTGATGTACAATTGAATAAGAGGAGTTACAACAAATGCTACATGAGTGTACTAATCACACACGAGTAGTTTAGGTGAGCCCAGTTGACGATTTTGAAAAATGGGGAAGGGTTCTGGGAGAAGTTGCCGATAAGTTCTAAATCCAAGCAGAGCGGGGAGAGGAGAAGTTGAGGCACAAGTTGAAGCGGAGGCCGAGCTTGCTGCGAGATCAATTTAGGCCCTAAATCAGGGAACAGCATCGTTGGGGAAATCCCATCAGGGTTCTTACCATGGTCGCTGGGAAGGCGGATTTGTCTTTGAAAAAAGTAAAGTTCCGCCGAGTTCGCGGGGATAATTCGTTCAGTTGCTGTTTTCTCGCGCTTTTCCCGCCTTATGTTCGCCATACATTACCACCCTCCCCCACTCCACCCCCCCCCTCCCCGCTCGACTCTGTTTTTCTGGAGAATCTGAAGAAAATGGAGGGAAATGATGACCGCTGCTTAACAAGATGGGCGTAGGTAGGATAGGGAGGCGCGACGCCGGAGCTGACTTACTAGCCGATGAAGATGGAGAGGAAAGATGGGATAGTTAGGATAAGGAGGGGACTCTTACAAGATGAGAAAATCTGGAAGGGGGGGGGGAAGACGTGGTGCTGAGTAGGGAAGGGAGAGCAGGAGGCCTTACTGGACGAGGACATGAAGGGAGGACAAGAAGTGCAATGAAGTAGAGAGAGCTTAGGAAGATGTTACATAGGTATGAAGAGGAAGGGGAGGGAGTGGATCAGATACGGAAATTTTAGGAGTGGGGCGTATTGACAGCGCCATCACCCATCACGATGCTGTACCATAGGCCCTACTGTAATCAGTATTCGATCACTTTGCATGTTATATTCGCTGGCTGTGTGCCAAGCACTGGAAACGCAGAACGTTCTCAGAGTTCGCGTACGACTGCCCTCGCATGGCGACCGTACACCGATTAAAGTAGATCTCGTCGCGAACTAAAAAAAAACAAAGCGAAACGCCAAAGGAGAAAAAGTGCGGAAAAAAGGTAGCGAAATATATGGGGCCTATTACAAGCGGGATTGAACAAAACAAGGACAGGATACTTTTGACTGATTTGAATCTCACCAACTGAAAAACCGAGTCGCATTTTTTTGTCTTTCGCTATGAAGAAACATACATATTCGTATCGCAAGAACTAGTGTATGTAATAAAGGATGGCGATCAAAAGAGTAACGTTCAGAAAACAGCTTTATTCAATGTAATATTTATGATAACTGCCTATACGTGTCTTTGTGAGATGTAGTGGAGGCCTTTCTCCCAGAATTTCGTCCTATTCGACGCAAGGAAGAAGTTCATCCATATCAGGGCATTAACCAAATGAAAAGAAAACTTTTTTCGCTCGCAAACACTCATCCAATCCACTCCATTCATCCATGGTCCCCTTTTGTGTGATACACAGACTGATCTTCTCTAGTGGTCATCTTGAGTCTGAGCAGTTATCATAGCTACTGGAGAAGCTGGAAGCTTTGGAGAGCAAATTCTGGCAGATTCTCACTTGGAACCCTATGCAACTTCTTGAGGAATACAGCGCCCCTGCTGCTGGGGAGGACGGTCAAGACAATCGTAGCTTGCCGTTGCGTCACGCGGAGACGGTGAACGCTGCGTTTTCTTGATTTGCATTGGCCTGTCGATCGGAGCACCAAATTGTATGGAGGCTATATCGTAGACACTTATGACATTCTTCTTACAGAATGTCTGTCGAGAGCCAAGGACAGTCATCAGTTAGAAAAGTCACCGTCTGCCAGCGCAACGTCGTACGCTTCGCCCACCCGTGCAGCCAATTACGATTGTCTTGTCACATATCCCCGAACCACAGCCCCTTAGAAGCGGTACTCCTCTCTTACAAGCTGACTACCGCTGCCCCAAATTCTGGACGTGTTTGGCCTTACAGATGCAATTGCTCGCGCAGAGCCTCCGCAGGTGCTTTAATCTGCCACGTCTAGCCTTAAAGACAGCCCCTGCGCTCGACTCGTCCAGAATCGCATGGTCGTACTTCCTTGTGCAAGTAGTACAGCCCCCAAGCTAGAGACTGTCCCACTCTATCCGTCTGCACAGCGAGCGAGAAGCGAGCTACAGCCGCTGTAAGTTCTAGATCTAGCGCCTGCTCAGTTGGACCGCCTTACTTGCTAGATGTCCTCCGATGGGGGCCACTCAGTTGTTCTTAGTCAGGGCGGCGGGCATTGCTAATGCCCATGGGTAATTCTGCTCCGTTCACTCATTTGAGGTATATACATTCAATTCAACTCATTTCGCGACGTGAAACGCGTAAAAAGCACGAGTGACGCAATTTTCGTGATGCAAAACCTCGACGCACAAAACGTGCGCTACCGTAATCCCAAATTCAGAGATCGCGTTGGCAAATGTTTTGGATCGTAAGAATTTAGCAGTTCTGAAGGACTATTAAAGATCTCTGACGCTCACGAGAGGCCATAGTGGTCCTTAAACAAAGGCTAGCTGCAATGCGGTCGCGGATTTGAGGAACGCTAGCGAAAAAACCAGGGGATTCAAAAATGCTGGGCCTTGGCACGGACGCGGTCTTGAAATGGACGTGATGACCAGTGGACATATCGATGTTCGTGGACACCATTACCAACTAATCACACTAACTCTTGGAGGTGTCATATCCAATTAACTTGATGTCCACTGCATCTTAATTGAGTGCTACCCTAATTGTCAAACTTCAACTAATTCAATAACTCGTGTGCCGTTTCCGAGGGTACCTATCTAATTACTCCCAGTAATTTCACTGGATTCCTGAGTTTTTAGTGAAGCAGCGAAAATTTCAGTTTTGGTCCTATTTCTGTTAATTTCAACCTGTATCGCTTTCAAGCCTGGTTCTGCTAACGTCAGCCTAGAATGAGACTTTTCACAACGGGCTTATGTTGGCGGAGAACTTACCGATAGGAAACCACAATTTCTCCTCAGTTCCATCAACACCAAGAATATCTAACGTATCGGTGTTACCATTTGACGACTGCATCGACTTCCGTCGGCCATGACGACTGCGGTAGATCCATTGCTGTAATGCAGAGCTTTACTTCTACTTAGTGAGTCCTACTTCAGTAGGGGAAGTTTTTAGGGATTGCTCCGTCAGGTTTGTGCCTAAACACATCAAGTAAAATTATAGTGAACGCGTTGCTGATCAGGTACTGACCAGGATAGCCACTGAAATCTTGGGTTACTCACTTCTCAGTGAGACAAACAAACGATAATTCGGTGTTCATACCATATTAGGGCGCAGTTCGCGGAAGGGGGGGGGGGGGGCATTTTGCACTTTCGCTACCTCATTAGTTCTGGTATAGAAGTTTCACTGTAATAAAACCTGTGAACTCTTGTGAAGCTGGAGCAAGCTTGGCGGGGCACCATGGTCTCTCAACTCAAGAAAAGGCTTTCTAGGTGGGTAGGCAAATTGACGGGAAGCGGCAAAAGTGCAAATGTTCTCCCCCCCCCCCCTTCGCCCCATATTTGTTTAAAAAGAGCGGGAGGACGTGAGCTCATCATCGTTCCTTACGCTTCACAGATTTTAGAATGTGTCTCCTTCACCGCCCACTACGGACTGTACTTGACAAGCCAAGTGGGTGGAACGCAAGGATTGCCACTTGATTAGCTAGATTGAGCGGAAAAAAGGGTTACGTTCCCTCACTTACTGTTAGCATAGGGTCAGCTGACCATAGGAGCGATCGAATCCCAGAAATACAAAACACCATGCACGGTCCGTAGCGCAGGTGGACTAATGGCAAATGACCCTTTTATCACACGCGCTGTTCACGGGCCGACCAGCTAAGCTTCTTTGTCTCTGGGGCCGTCAAATTGGTACCGGATTCGTCTGACAGGATAAAAAAACTGATGTGCACGTCAGCTAGCCCCAGCACTATGGGCTAGGTCGCATTCAGTAAGCCCCTATGTTTCGGAATGGAAGCGAAGCGCGTGCCGCATCCCAAAAAGCGACCCATCGGCGACAAAAGCTTCATTCTTTGATCTTCAGTACACGGGCACCGACGAGCGCAAGATTTCAGTGCACTTGGATAAACCTGGCTGTCAGGACCGAGTCAAGGACTAAGCGACGTAGCTCAACGAGCTGGATCACCGGTATCGTCCTATATTAGAGGGTCAGTCTCGAGAATCTACATGTTGGTGAGCCAAGCCTGACAAAAGGCGGCTGACGCGTACTATAGACGGACGGAGGTCAAGATAGACGACATCACCTTGGACGACCGCGACCATGGAGCCTACGAGTAGCGCACAGTCCTGCCCCTACAGGAAGATCATGGAAGAATTCCGTCTATGGTATGCCATGTTCCAGGCGATCCCGTGCGACATAAAATCTGATGGCGCCTCCATGAGCGATGCCTTTGTTTTTTCCCCGCTCCCCTGCTGAAATGGGCCGGAATCGCTGGTCATAAAACGTGGTAGAATAAGGTTTTGATTCCAAACTGGGCATTTCTTTTATTCACAGCACGGGGAAGATGGAGATGATTCCATTTTGAACATCAGATGGCTTGCAAGGGATCGGCCTGCTATTTTTGGCCTGCACGTAGTCGTCAGTGGATGTTTTATATCCAGCTAGCAGGAGCCGTTTAGCTTTGCCAGCGGAAAGAGATTGTTGAATAGCGCTACTTGTCCAGAAACCATAAAAAGTACATCGCCCACACTAATCGGCACTTTTCAGCCAGGTCTAAAGGAACATTCAAGGACTTAATGTTGGCATTCACGTAGTGGTATTTTAATTCGTATCGATCCAACAGCATAACTTCCGGGTGCAGTCGATTCTCGTGGGACAGACTTCATCTTCCCAAGCAAGTCGTGCCTACAGCGGACTCGAAGAAGAGAGCCCCAGCTGTCTTCGAAGAAATTTGAGTAAACTGTGCCAAGTTGAGGGTCGCCTACAGCTATTGCGCTAAGTTTAGTCAAAGTAAATGATGGACCAATCAATAATAAAAGTAAAAGGACTCACCTTGATTTTCCGTGTCATCCTATTCCAATTGCTAACAAATTTGAGCAATGTTTCTGAGAGGAATTTGCCGATATCGGCCGCAGTGATGAACATAAGAGGAATACCAACAAGTGCAAATGCCACAGCAAACACTTTACCAACATCCGTATCTACAGACACTTCACCGTAGCCTGAAAATAGAAGCGTTTCCTTCCATACAATGTATAGCCCTCATTTGTTGTAACGCTGACATGAGCCCTCCAAGTCCACCTGACAAAATCCTCCAGGGCGGCGTGACTTCCAGGGAAATGCAAATGGGTGCCGCATAATTATTCTTCGAAGAAGTATTCAGTGCTATGGGTATAAGAAAGCGTAACTGCACGTGCAACTCTTTTTTATGCCTGACACTTTTACTTAGACGAATACAGGTAACTCATAAAGGTAGGGTGACAGTGCAATGGCAAATGGCTTTGCCATCAAGCACATGACCCAAGGATCGAATCCGGATTAAAACCGCCAATGCCTCCAAATCGGTCATCCCAAGCGAGTTGCTACTGGGAGGATCAAAACACTGTTTTGCACATCGACAGGGCCTGCAAGGAGGGCAGGCGTAGCACAATACACAACGGACTCGCAAACAGGGCACACGTTGGGAATCAGAGAGCAGGATCTTATTAGTCGCTCGGGAGAGCGGAAGGGGAGTCAAACTTGAGAAAAGTGTTCGCCTTTGTGGTAAACTCCCTCTCCCACTCCCTTGCTCTACTGCACTTTTTCGGTGAAGAAATGGAGAATTTCAGAGAAAAAAAGTATGGGGAAGTGGAAGGAAGTTGGAAATTGCAGAAAGATGGTAGTTGGGTAGATCAGTAGGTAGGTAGGCAGGTAGGTTGGCAGGTAGGTAGGCAAGATGGGGATGTTAAGGGGCGGGGTCGTACTGGAATGGGGATCTTTGGGGGGGGGGGGTATTTCGCAAAGGCTTTTCAACATCAGGACGTGCTCTGCTCAGATTCAGTGCTGGAAGAGGGGGCCGTATTTCGGTTTGCGAATAATTTGCCCACTGCTGACTTTCGCAGGTTCCAAAAGTGGGCTGTACTGAAGCAGAAACTCGGAAGAGGAGATGGGCAGGGTCACATTTTGCAAAAAAGTTACATCATGCTATGATCTGCTCCAACTGCAAGTTACTGTGTAGGCCTAATCATATACATAGAAAAACCTGTCATGTTCCTGACTGAAAGTCGAATTCGTGGCGCATCTCAAGAAGGATTATCCAACTCCAGACGGCAGAGTGGATCTTTCAAAGGAAGTGAGGGGATAGAGGGAAATTTTTCATTCGCTTTTCAAACTCTCAAATAAATAATAAACAAGTAGGTAAATAGATATTCCGAAAATTACATTAATAATTCAATTCAAAGGTGACTTTCGTTGAGCCACGAGCTACGAGTGATAACGTGCTATCTCGTTAGCGTGAGAAACGCTTCGGAAATTTCTGCAACCTTTCCGGAGGGAGATTTTTCTCCCTTCTCCTGGATATACCCGTTCTTCTTTTATTTTTTCTAGAAAAGGACATGAAACTTCATAATGAACTCATAAGCCATTTTACACGGAACTCACGTGCCCCATCCCTCCCTTGGGAGTCACCTGTTCACTTCCTGAAAAAAGGCAGGAAAAACCCCCTGTCTTTGTGAGAAACGTGGAAAAGAAAAAAGCCGTAGTATGTTTCCATTTCCGCCGGGAACAACTCGTGTTGTTCCTCATATCGATTACTCAGAAGTGCAAAACAGGACCTCCACAACAAATCCTACAAGATATTTTATCAGCCCCAAGCTGTTCTAAATTATGTTCTATTCCTGGCCACGCTCAGCTCCGAACTCATCTATTTTTAGAAAATTTTTTTCGAGTAATTACAATTCCTGGCGCCAATAAAGTTGGGGTTTGAAGGAATTCCTTGCAAAATTGGGATTAACGTCATCCGAACACATCATCGAGCTTGTTGATCCACCTGCCTATTGGATTTCCTCTGCCTTTGGGCTCAAGCAAAAGTCCTCGTCTCCATTATGTAAATCTAGTCTTGCACGAAGTGGGGACCTCTGAATGGTCTCTTCCCCCCTCCCATTCCACTACTGCCGCAAGGTCGCTAGCTCCACTTTCTCTACGCGATTGCTCATACGAGCTCCGCACCCCATGCACAAGGTCTGCTCAGAAAAAATATTATAATATCCTTAAGAGACATTTTGCAATGGCAACTGTACGCGAGCGAGCGGTCCAGGAGTCAAATCCAGGGTAGGCTCCCACCAAGAATGAATATGTTTCCTGCGTCCTTCGGGTCCCTTAAATTGGTATCAGATTCGTGTGAGAGGATAAAAAAAACTGAGACGCAATACGATTCTAATATTTTAGTACCGAGTAGAAGTGGAGGGCATGTCGCATCTTACAAAGGGGACTGACCAATGGCGAAAGCTTGTTCCATTTTGGTCTCTGGTTAATTTACTAATGAAGAAGAGATGAGAGGAAACCAGTGAAGTCTTCGACAACCACATCTCTGAGAAGCGAAAGAAAACGGCCAACGTCTAGCAAACAATGGTATTCGAACCAGAGAAGATCGTATCTGCCCTTGAGAGAACTTTTTTCCTAGGCGCACCAGGCAGATGTTTCCAGCAATTATGCAGGGGAAATCATAGAATTCTGGGAAAAGTGGTAGGTAGGTGAGACGATTTGGTAGGGAAGCGATGGGTGGTAGATGGTGAAAGATCAGTGCAGTAGAATAAAAAGCCACTGACTCACCCGACCCAGCGCTGAATCCTGGTACAAAAACCTAAGGATTTATTACACCTGAAGCATTTCTCTTGACCAACCTGGGTATGCCGGAGGGTAGAGTTTCACCGGTGCACTGAACAGAGACACCGTACTTTAGGTATCCTTAGCGAATGGGGCAGTATTCAGTCGCTGGAGAGAGGGAGTCGTAATTCCTTCGAGAAAAATAATTTCGCTTAATGATTTCTCTCGTTTTCTCCTGTTTCATGCGCGTTTTATACCCCCCCCCCCTCCTTCACTCTGCCCTCGCAGGCCGCTCCATAGCGGTTCTTCAGTTTTGGAAGAGGGCGGGGAGGGGGATGGGGGAATTTGAAAAACTTCCGAAACTCAAAAGAAGCTGTTGAAAAGTGGTAGAAAGTTGGGAAACTCCAGAGGGATGTATTAGGTTGTCCAGAAAGTTCTCAGCGTTTTCGGAGTTTCACTTTAAACGATCGTAACTTTAGTAGTGTCCAACTTCTCTCTTCGGTAAAACCTCGGCATTGTTGTTACGTATACATAAGTAGTTTTTCTGGGCACACGCTGTGGTGGACTGGGCTCTGATGTGAAGACGATCTAGTCGAAACGTCAGGCCATAATAAAGTTTCCAGCTTTAAAACTCGGTGCTTCACGTTTAAAAGGTCGTAACTTTTTAATACTCATCGGATTTAATCGAAATAGGCACCATTCGAATCAGCACACTTTTGCCAATGTGACAGCAGTCAAGAAATTCCATCAAAGTAAAAAACTGGGTGGTCGAAAAATTCACGAAGTCCACGAAGGCTTTTTTGCCTGGTCCTGAATGATGAAGTATTTTCCAGCAAGGGAGTTCTGAAATGTTAGAAAAGGTGATAATCGATTGGCGAAAGGTCTGAAGAATATGGCGGTTGCAGGTAGAACTTCAACCCCCAATTCGTTCAATTTATGGATAGTGATTTGTGAAACGTGTGGGCGGGCGTTGTCATGCAAAGGAATCGGACCCCTTCTTTTGATAAGTGCTGGCTGCAATCTGACAAAATTTCGGTACAATTCGTCGATTTCTTCACAGTAGGTTCTGCCTGTGATGGTTTGGCCTGGTGATAGAAAGTTATAGTGATCACACCAGCCGATGACCACCAAATGACCAGAATCTTTTTTTCGTGAGGTTCAGTTTGAAAATTAACTCGGTGGTTCGTTCGAAATCCAACACTGTCCGGAACGTCTCCTGTTATCAGAAATGATCATTTCATCAAACAGGTGACAATTCGGCCCAAAAACAGGTCGTTTCTGTTGAGCAAAAGCAGTGAAGAGGAACCGCGAGACGTGCCAATTCTGCCGGTCACGTCAAATTGTGGAGCACCCACGTATCGAGTTTTTTTTTTCACCTTTACTGCTGGTTCAACGGAGCCCCCAATTCCTGGGGCCCCAACAACAAAAAAAAAAAAAAAAACAAAAATAAAATCTCCTGTCATAAAAAACAACCCCGGGCCTGGCCTTTTGCGGGGGCGATTTGCGCGGGGGGCGGAACAAAAAAAAAAAAAAAAAAAAATAAACAAAAAACAAACAAAAAAAAAACCCCGCCTCCCCCAAACAGGGGAATATTTCTTCTGCAATCTCTCGAAGTGTTTTGGATGGCGTCAGATCCAAAAATCTCCTCAAAATTCCTCGCTCAGATATTCGCTGAGGCAACCGCTATGAGGTTCACCTTCAAAGCGTCTGAAAATCTCCAAGAACGATAATATTTGTTGCAGCCATTGCCGCACAGCTGCTTTCTCTAGCCACGTATTGCGGCCCCCACTACGGTGGCTGTTAATTGTTGATAGCTGTTTCGAATTGCGGATTGCCCCCAATTATAGTCGTAAGAAAAAAAAAAATCGTCCGAAGTTGCTCTTTTTTACATGCCTTCAAAAAAGTCTGGAAGAAAGAGCGGTTTATCAAAGCCAATGGGTTGAAACGGCAATTATACCATCAGAAGCGTCAAGAAAGTTCTACAGTATGTTGCTTTTGAGAAGCAAGGCAGAATGAGTTTTTAATCAGCAGTGAATGTACAAAAAATAGGTGCACAAAGAGCTGAGAACTTTCCGGACAACCTAATAGTTAGGATGGGCAGATGGGGAAGGAGGTCGCGCTCTGCAAAACTTCCCCCAACAACAAGACGTGCCCTGATATGAAGGTCCAAGCACTATTGCTTGAAGGTAAGACTGAGTACATCGTTGGAACGCTTTATAACCACCACTACAACTGCTAGTGCTACGTCTTCACACTAGTCCCCAGAGGGCTCTGACATTATGGAGTTTTGTGGCTGAATAATCGTCGTTTAATCCAGTTGCTCTTATAAGAAATATTTCTGAGTAATAAACACATAGAAAGTGGAACTACCAAGGATAGCTAGTCCAGCTCAATTATCTGCTATAAAAATCTCGACGATGTTTTCTCAAACGAACTTCAGAATCTCAGGAGATCGTCTTGGATAGGACCTGAGTATGACATGTCACTTTTCATACGTGTCGAACTTGTTTTGACATTATGGCTGGCTTTGCTGAGCCATGAGGATTAGCTCTGTCGTAGGTCATGTGGCACCGATCAATACTGTTGTTATTTTCACGAGAAACTGGTCTAATGTCAACAATTACTAACAACGTACCACATGTAGTTAAAACGGTGAGCACATAGAGTAACGCTGTTGGAAATGTCCACTTATTATGCATATTGGCGAGATCGTCTGGTCGGTTTAGCTCTCGACGGATCGGTCGTCGATCGTCAACCACTTCCGCTACCGACAGCATCCATTCCCTGGAAATACGTGGGCTATCCTGAGCTCTCAGAAACACGCACGTGGGCCCTTGTGGTTTCATTTCGCCTACATATCGTTCTCTAATCCCCAGCACATCTGTTTCGATGAGCGCCAACGCAACACGACGATTGCACCGAGGCATAACAATAAAACCTCAAACCCTCCCACAGGGGCAGTATTACTAGTAGATTTGTCATGGGGTGAGAGTTTCCATGAGGAATATGTCTTCCAAACTTTGTGTCCCTCAGAGATAATCCATACTGGAGTACTGGAAAACAAACAGCATATATTTGTGTCCAGTTGGGGTCGGGATGGGGGAGTTTTGCATTCCTAATTAGTTCGCGTCAAAAATTTCATGGCGAGTTGCGGGTGGCGCCAAAAATGGGCACACGCGGGTGGCATTCGTTCGATCTTAGTCCTCCACCTCGCCGCTAGCCCGTCTGACATCAGTAATGCTATCGCCGAAAAAGGGCTAATTCAACAAAAATTGCACTTTTAATTTTGAATAGGGAAGTGCACCTTTTGGAAATCGATGGGCGTTGCTGGGATGTGGTCACACCAATCCTGAATAAGGTTTAGTACTGCCAGAGAGTTCTGATTGAGTTCAACCGTGCTACGAAGTTCTTGGCAGTAAAAAAGCATATTTCAGGTAACTAGAAATAAGGTATTACTTTTACTAGGTAAATATCAGAGCGAGCTTCCCCGAAATCTGCTCTTCTCTCATAGCAATAGCCGTAGCCATTGCTACCCAAGCAAAAACAACAATTATGCCCACATTTCCGCAATAAATGGCAGCGTTGAGTAGCTCAGGTTATTAAGCGTTAGTAATATAGAGAAAAAGAGAAATTGCCGAGCTATGGCACACACATAACCCGATAAGTAAATGAAAGCCAATACTGCTTACCGAAATGCTGCAGCCCAATCTTGTTCGTCTACTGAACGACCACCGTGTTGAGCTTCGTTCAGTATCCGCCAACTGTCCGCGGTGAAATTGGACATCATATTGGTTAGCCTGAAATTAGACAAAGTTGACGACTAACTGAAATTTACTACTAAAAGCTACTAGTAACACTTACCGGACAAGTTTTCGTGATCGTGCTAAAAGTTCAGTTCTCGTTTCGAGAAGCATAAGGATCCAGGCACCGAGGCACAAATAACCAATGAGTACAGCAACCAGTATGACATGAGGGGTGAGGATTTTAATATACTGCAATGAAGAGGGATAAACTAGGAAGTCAAAGAAATAGTTATCACAAGAATGCTAGTTATGCATAAAAGTCTTAACCCCAGGTGGGACTCGAACCCATTATTCAAGCTTCTCAGGAGTGTGGGTCAACCATTACCCATAATAATGAACTTGGAAAAAGGCATTACGCATAATAAACATCTTCAAAGGAGTATCTTGAAAAATCCATTGTTTGGTACTGGGTACCGTACGAAGTCATCGGGATATGTAGATTTGCGTAGGAAAACACTGAAATGGGGAGTAAAACTTCCACAAAGGCGATTTTCGCTTAGCAGAAGGGACCGGAATTTCATATCCACGACGCTTCCTTTGATTATCCTTGCAGAGCGATCAAGCCGGAAATCGGAACAGAAAGCGAAGGAAAACAATGGCCCCAGTACCACTTTCAGAGCAAATGAAAACAACTTTTTGAGGCACTCTTATCACAGCGTACAATCACGGTCACACCACGTCGCAGGCTAAGGATTCCTAGGGAGGAGGGTCATACTTGGCAGGTGGTGGTGTGAGGGGGGGTCGTGTTTGATTCTTGGAGGGAAATGTTTTCGATTGTTCACTTTTCTCGCACTTTCCTGTTTCAAGTGCGCTATATGTATACCCTCTTCCCGCTCCCCTTTCCCTTTCGACGGCAGTTTTTTTTGGATATCTGAAGACTTTGTTCGGAAAACCGGGGAAAAATGTGGGGAGTTAGGAGAACTGGGGCAGATTTTAGGTAAGATGGGGTAAAGGAAGGTCAAACCAAAGGAGTAACTTTTGAGGAAGAGGGGTCGTATTTTGTCCAAGGGCTGGACGTGCTTTGTATGCGATACACATTCGTCAAGAAGCTTCTAGAATTATGTCTTTACAATTGCAATCCAGGCAGTTGACTTTCGCTTACATAGCTGAAGAGACAGGAATTTTAATCGGAAATCGGAATACGAAAGTGTACGATCTTTGTAAGCGCTGATAGTCGTTTTATAATAATAGTTTGCCAGTAAAGCTCCTAGAACTTCACTTTCAGTGCATTTTGCTTTCTAGGAAAAGCATTACTCACATATTAATACTAGGCCTACTTTTTTTGTCAAATAGGATTCTCTGCACTTTCTGGGAACTAAAGCTAATACGTGTTCGATATAGTGGGTAGCGCTTGGAAGAATGCACGCAGCTTCTCTCTTTTCAGCTCCTTGAAGGCCGACAAACTACCCATCTTAGCTCGAATGGGCCACCAGGTGATCTTGAAGCTCACGAGTATGACTCTAGTAACTAATGACTTCTACAGGGGTGTATACATATTCGATGTAGAATGACCCACTATGTCAGGCTAGAAAAACCATCTTACTGGAAAGTCATGAAGAGCGTTTGGGAAGCAACCATGACGAGGCTTCCTTGCGGCGCTATTTGGTTTAAAGAAGGTATTTTGCACTTTCGCTAAATGTTTTTGCTAGTTCATGTGAATGAAAAGGTAAATTTTTGTGCGAAATGGTACAAGTGAGCCACTTTGGCTTCAAGTTTTCAAAAGGCTCCAGGAAGAGGCCTGTACATACCTGGATGAGACCACTGGGTGCTCCAACCAAGCCGAAAAGCCCTCATCTCCACCCTGGCAATCCCGGGTTGGCACAGGGATACCTTTGTAGTGTCCCCCTCTCTTCCCGCCAGCAGACTTCGGCCTGCATGTGTTCGCTCGTTCCTGCTGAATCAACACCTCTAGTCTAGCTCAGGAGCTGGACTAAATCATTTCACATGAGAGCAACGACCGATAACTCCCCTGTAAGAATCGGAAATCGGAACATGAGAGCGGGCGATAAATGTAAACTTCATAGTAAATGGGAACATTTTTTGGTATTTATATTTTGCATTACTTCGAACGCGAAGGGCGCGCTCTGTTATTAGGGAAAAACATCCGCAAACTTAGACCCTCTGCAAATTTTTCCTCTGGCACGCCCCCCCCCTATCCCACCCACCACAAATTAACTACCTCCTAAATAATTTTCCCAAGTTCCTTCCACTTGTGCAGGGCTTTCCTGAGAACTACTCCCTTTCTTCTCCATAACACTGCCGTCGAGCGGGATGTATATAACGCGCATGATAGAGGAGAAACTGAGAGAAGTCAATAACCGAAAAGGCTTTTCTTAAAGACAAATATGAGCCTCCCTTCAGTTGCCAAATCGTTGAGATTACCGAATTAAGACGTGCGATAGTGGTACAAATCAGTGGGGAAAAAAACAAGTTTCAAAAGGTTGCTCCCCTCGAACAATCTACTCTAACAGAAACCTCTCTGTATAAACCGAAGTTGTCCCAGATGCTCTACGCTTGACTTGGATCCTTCACAGAACTTGGACCTGGGTCACATTGTCGGGCTAGCGTTTTTTCAGGGCTGACTGGCAGCGCGATTTCAGTTGGTGTTATCTAGAAATATAACCCTCGTGTTGTTTCATTGAAGTGCAAGGTGTTCGCTGATGACGAGGCATTCGCCACGATCAGGAGTAAAAAGCATTTTTCATGTGGACCGCCTGGGGAGTTGTTGGCTGCGCTATGTGACTATGCATATTGTTGCCAATCAGTAGTATAGCGTTATCAGTTACATCATAATGGCTATATGACCTCCATTAGTTGCTGCATATGTGAAAAGCAGCCGATATTTCTGCAACGACTTCAGCGCTCGAGCCTAAGGAGGGGATCTCATTGAGGGGAGTGATGATACTCAACAGCAGACCTCAACCAATTCTCCAACGCTCGCGCAATCCGAAGGCATTTGTCATCGCTCATATTTCGTCGCCGGGAGCATTTGTCGTGGGGCATCTTTTCTCGGCGTACGTCCAGTGCCAAAAAGCTGCTATGTCGTTGAAAAACGAGCCCAGGTCCATTTCATGCGAGCTATTCTTGTCCCTAGGCGCTATGCGCTATGAATGAGCGTATTTTTCATGGTTAACATCCATCCACCAAACCAATCCAAGTTAGCGGCTCCTTTATGAAATCACCATGAATGAAAAAACATAAATAAATCAGAAGGATACTGGCGAATTTATAGCTCAGGCGCCCACTCGCTGCAAGGGTTTCGTCGGCACATTTTGGGTTATTTTAGAAAAAAGTTCACAGCAGAGAAAGGAGTGAACCGGGTCCAAAACGGCATACAGGGCACGTTATGCAAGGGTCATTCCTCAGCGAGGGAGGGGGGGGGTCGTACCTGGTCGCTGGAGGGCGAGTGGTCGCATATGCCTTCGAGAAAAAATTTCTTTGGGCCATTGACTTGTTGAGAGAAGAACTGAGGATCTCATCAAAAGTGAGTTTGGGAGAAATTAGCTAGGTGATAGGAAGTGGGAGCTGGTGAAGGGGTGGGTACAAGAAGAGGAACTCTTGGGAGAGGGAGGGGGAGTATTGCAAATTTTCTCCCCTATAGCAGGACCTGCCTTGATTGAAGAGCCCGCAAAGACAGAACAAGCAGACCATAACGTCCCCAACGACAGGACGTTCCCAGACGGGATAGCACCCAAACACAGATTAAGTAGATCATAAGGTTGTGAAAATAGCTATAGAATGGGGCAATTAGGATGATTACCTTGACAGTTTGCTGTGGGCAGCTTTTTGGCTCTTGTCGTTCGGCATCATCTTTGATGGTATCGGTGATGACAGTGGCACCATCATCAGCGTCAATTAACGCCGATTGTGAATTTAACGGCACACCTTCCCATCTGGCTGTCACATGATCTGAAATTCATATTGATTATTCAAAAAATTGTATTTTTAGCGAAATCATGAAAAAAATGTCCTTAACAACTCACCTATACTCAACACCCCCGAGGTTTTAACACACTGCAGATACTGATCGCCCTGTCCTGGAGACACAGTTTGATACGTCCTGTCGGACGTTACGCCTTGACCGCCTAATTATAGCGCGTCTTATGGTCATCTAGCAAGCTAGTCTTGCGACCAAATCGATGATCCATCAATAGTTGTTGTAAGTTTAATTGAGTTTTATCAAGCTTCATCTCTTTGTTGACTAAGAGGTGAGGTGTAACGTTGTTTTTAATCAAGCAATGTCTACTGGTAACCAATAAGCTGCCCGAAGGCTGAGTCTCGCCTCTAGGCGCCTTATAATAGAGTTTGCAGTGCAAAGCAGAAATTCCCGATAAATATATCTCTACTCATACGGACATCAACCACGACCACATCGATGCGCTAATAGGGCAATAGGTTCTGTTCATAACTTTACTCATAACAGCCTATAATGCCCTCATTCCAATTACCAGTAATATATACAAGCGCTCAAAAGAGCATTCAGGCGCCCACAAGAGCGTCATGGAAGAGTGCGGTTAATCCCAAAAGCGATGTGTGCCTTTTCTCAATAAGTACACGCTCTGGTGCATGGATGTCACGGTGAGAAAAACCACAAGAACAGGAAATTAGAAATGAGATAGAACCACACATTGGCACAGAAAATCGCAAAAATTACGTATAACGAGAAAAATTACCAATAACGATTTTCCCGTCATCCTGGATGGAAATTGTGGGGCGTCTGAGGAAAATCTTCTGCTGACGACTCGCTCGACGAGGTTCATTTACGGAGAAGACGGGTGAAACCGGTGAAGCGCAAAGTTCGACCCGGTCCTGAGCGCTAAGGTCGTGTCGGAACGGCAAGGCAAAACTCCTCCGTTCCTCCACACGAAGTTCCTCAGGCAGATTTCGTAATAAGTCTTGTGTTTCAAGTGGATGATGACGAGATAATATTTCCGGAATTTGGTAGGAAAGACGGGTGTCCAGATGGCCAACATTTAGATAAGTAGCGTGTGAAAGAGTCTGACGTCGTGCTGAGGTACTCGTTGATAATCGAGCATTTGGTGAATAAAAGAACATGGCCAGGGATAAACAAAAGACACGTTGAACTTCACGCTACGCTTGAGGTGTGAGGA